TTAATCATTATGCAAATCAGGTAATTAATATTGCACAGATTTTTACCCAAAACTAATCAAATCTGCGCATTAGTTTGGAGCATCTGTGTGCCAAGTTTCATCAAAATCCAATGAGTGGTTCTTTAGATATCAGTGGAACAGTCATGAAACAGCCAAAAATCAGCTAATTATCATGCAAATTAGGTAATTAATATGCATGGATTTTTACCAAAACCTAATCAAATCTGCGCATTGGCCCAGAGCATCTATGCACCAAGTTTCATCAAAAACTGTTAGTATGGTTCTTGAGATATCAGTGGAACAGACGGACACACATACACACACACACACACACACATATACAGACACACTAACTGCAAAGACTCCCTTTTTGTGCTTCGCACACGGGAGTCAAAAATGACGTGCATCAAGGTCCTATTATGTTTAATGTATGTACCAAATTTGAACAAAATCCGTCCATGCATAACTGAGATCCGGGTCCGGAATGGTGAAAATGTGCGATTTTGATGCATTTTCGGCCTTAAAATGGCCGCTATTCGGCTATCGTTAATCGGATCATGAAAAAATGCATGTGCATATGTCCCATATAATGTGTGATGTATGAGTGAAATTTGAAATTAATCGGTCCATGCATGTTCGAGATACAGGTGATCACGGACGCACACAGGGCAAACCATAAGTCCCTGTTTTCGGACTAGGTCCGAACAGGGACTAATAAGGTAAAACCCTTCACATATCATGAATGCAACGGTACCCCTACATCTATTAGTATATTTATTTCTTACCTCTGCATACTGAGGTCTTTCAAATTTATACAATAATTGTGTTCCTAACATGACATTGAAGTACTCTTTGATTCCTTGGGACACTTCTATAATAGCACTCTCTCTGTGGGAAGATAAAGGGAAAGGTTTCAATCCCTGGAAATGCTATCATGGAATACTATTAGGAAGGTTCACGTCAAATTGAAAATTACATGTCATCTTTGTCATACTTTTGTTTTTATGGGGGTCACCAGATTTTTCGAAAAACAAGAGCAAGAAATGCCATAGAAATGGTAAAAATGAGATTATTTATTCACGCCTCAAAATTTTGCTCTGTGACATTGGATGGAAAAGTCATTTGTGTTTATTGATATGGTCTAATATTGTGAAAACATTTCAAAGAATTGACAAATAATTTCGCTCGTTTCCAGTGTGATACTAGTTTTCCATTATATGCAATGGGAAGTTTGTTTTCCCAAAATGCATTGCACATATATGCAGTTACATGATCAGTAGTGAACAATTTGAATTTGGCTCAAACAGCCGTATTGTCTCTTGTAAATATAAATGCAATCATTGCAAACATGCATTTATCGGACAAAGTAAATTGATGCGAGACAATGCAATGCAATAAAAGTACAATCATCTTACTTATTGGCTGGTGTCTGTCCTCGAGAGGTTTTGTACTTGAGGTAATCGTCTAATATCTGATCCACACTAGTTTTCGCAGGAAGGTGGACCAGCTTGTTATAAAAAAAAATTATGTATATTTAGTCAAAAATTAAATGATGCCAAAAATGAGCACAAGTTTAAGATTCTCGTGGCGTTAAATTTCAGCAGTGGTCATTTTTAATTCAGTTAATTAGATTAGATAGAGTATCAAAATAATCTTAAACATGACAGATGGGCAATACATACTTGTTTTTGTCTCGTAATAAGATCCCAGTCATCTACCAAGACAGGCTTCAATTCTGTGGGAATTTTAACTTTTATTTCAACTCGGTTCAAAAAAGATTCTTCCTACAAATGCAAATCACAACAGATAATCAAATCATTGTTATATATATACCGATATATATATTCCTGATGATATGCCCAGAGTAATTAAGAAAAAAATAATGATCTAATTAATTTCATTATTTTTAAGTGGAACTTGTTGAATTAAATCCATCTGAATTGCAATACATGTAAATTGTTTCTTTGACAATTTAAAATCCAGCGAATATTTGCAAATATAAAACATTTCAAAGAACAACATCTGGTCCCCTGAAACTGAAAAAAAATGTAAAAAAAAAAAAAAATCATGCAAGCATTGGAAATAAAAACAAAATAAAGGTATCCACAATTTTACTCACACTCTCAATGGAGGCATCCATTCGGGCACGCTTTCTCTTTGGGGGATCCGACGTTGTGGATGATGTATCGCTTGATGCACTAGCTATTAATGAAATGCATCAAAAAGTGTTCATTATTAAACAGGTAAGGCTAAACAAAATGATCATCACGTCCAAAATATAGTTAAAATGAAAGAAAAAACAGCAAACTAACAAAAGAAACATTATTTTTTGCATTTTGTACAATCGGTATATAATATAATAATATATATCAATTATCATTGATCATTTGTTGTAGCAACTGTACTTCACATGAACTGAGTAACACTTAAAGATGGTGAAAACTAAAACTAATCATTAAATAATATGTACTGCAGATTACAGTCATTTGGTGTCACTCCTATATACCTTTCTTTTGCTGTTGTGATGGCAGTGGTTGTTGTTGCTGTGGGGATAGCAGTGGTGGTGGTGGCGGTGGTGGTTGCTTATCAACAGTCGGTGTGGATGATCTTTCCCTTTCTTTTTCTTTCTCCGGCTTTTTGGTGAATCCACCAAGTTTAGGTCGCCTGCCTTTCCTGTGAGAATGGAAAATAACAAGGGTAAGTATCTATTATACTATTTCGTTTCCCATTGCCGGGTTTATGTAGAGATATTTTAAACAGGGTTTAAACTACACTCATATATTTCTTATACCGGTGAGTGAAAGAGCTTATTAGTATTTACCTTTTCACCACCAGTTCCCTCTTATCAAAAATTCTCAAATTCCCAAAATAGTCCCATTTATAGTCTGCACTTTCCTTCAGCAGATTTGGACAAAAATAGCCAAAGTGTTTGATTAAAAACCAAAATTGACTCAAATGTTGTCTGTTGGCTCCAAAATTAAGGTTCATTTCCAGAAATATTGAAGAATAAAAAAAAAAAAATAGAGAAATATTCTGAAAAGTTTGGTGGTGAAAAGCTTAAACAAAAACTGCTTTCAAAAGTGACCATACAGCATACATGTATCAGTAATAGTATTTCAACAGAAAACCCCACCATCATAAAATGAAAATACAAGGAGTCTATCGCTATCTTATTTCACCATACAACCTTTTCACCACCAGTTCCCTAATTTCATCACAAATTCACAAAATAGTCCCCGTTTATAGTTGGCACTTTTCTTCAGAAGATTGGGACAAAAATAGACAAATGTTTTGAGTTGTTGGCTCCAAAATTAGGGTTCATTTCCAGAAATATACTAGTAGAAGAATATGAGAAAACAGTGCAGAATAATTTGGGCAAGAAAGTCTGGTGGTGAAAAAGTTAAACCACATGGATACAACAGAATTTGCCAATGAGCATGATTCATTAAAAATGGCGTTCCTGTTTCAAAAGAAGTGTTGGTACATTTATACATAAGTCCTTTTCGAAAATATTCGGCCGGGGCTCATCATCTGAAGACTCTTGTGCGTTAATTATCACTAATATCCCAGTTGGTAAAAAGTGATCAAGCTGTGTTTCTGAATTTTAAAATGAGAATCAATCATGTCAGTTCATCGGCTGCAATTGTTGTAAGGATGTGGCTCACTAAAACTATTCAGTTAGTCCATTAAAGGCACACTGCCATAACATCAGTGATATACAAAATAATCCTATCAAGGCCCTGCCAGTCACCCCAGGGACAATCCCTATTGCTTATACTAGGTACCTACTTATCAGTCCTTTCATTGTTCTTGTTTAACTCCAGTTTAATCTTATCAGCCTGGGCCTTTAATTTGGAACTAGGATGAGATAACCATCACACAAAGTTTTATTATTTTTAGATAGAATATACTTAGTGAATAAAATGTTGGAATATTAACAAGTGTGAATAAGTATTTTTATGTGTTACTGTAGAACACGTTGAAATAGCTACATGCCATTTTAGCAAATTTGACTCCATGCATGAATCACAATGTAATAGATTCTTAATTTAGCTAAAGTGCCAACAATATCATTGTGCGTATTTAGTTCACCAATATTTTAAATTAGCCACATCTTGAGTTAGCAAAATTGTGGATTAGCTAAAATAACATGGTAGCTAAAAAGACATGTTTTACAATATGAAAATGTTATCATTGTGCTCACTATTTTGGGTGAAGTAAACAATGGAGACAGTACATGATGGAATACACAGACATACCAATAAGTTTGAATATATAGTCAGCAATGCCTGGCCAGTGAGTGCAGCTGTGCAGTTTATTGATTTACTAAAAATAGAAGTGAAGTGACCTAAGAATATCTAAACGCGTAAAATCACAAGCTTTGAGTTGTTATTTTAAACGTTGACTGGGATTCAAGATGGTGCCACAAACGATTTCACAGCAGCTCAAGATGACTCAAAACATCATTCAAATAAATTTTTAATTGGTTGTCAGAAAACAATTGGCTTATTATTGAGCTGTTTGACTTTGCATAATTTGCGAAAAAAACAATCAAAATGACATCACCCATAGACCAGAAGGGCCCAATTTTCAAACCTTTGGGGTATACAGATTTCTTCCATACTTTTGCTGCTATCTAAAAAGGTTAATGTTACTCAACTGCTATCACTGCACTCACTATGATTAAGTTCAACAACTGAGGGCCATTTTCATTTCAATTTAAAATGATTTGTCGATTGTAACTCTAATATCGATGTGTGTAGAAAACAAGCACATGTTAAAGCGTATTTTGATTTCACTTACGAGTGGTGTCCTTGAAGTTCTTTCTGTTTTTGTAAATTTGCCTCATTAAACTTGAGTACTCTGCTTTCTGGTACCCACTCATCCCAACTGTAAAACAAGATAAACATTATTTCATTAAATTGTCATAGTCGATAGTTGCTTTGTGATTTGATAATTCATTCAAATGCTTTCAAGAAGAGTAAATTTAACAAAAAGTTGACAACGGAATCTCAGAGAAAAATTCATTTGAGATTTGCAACTCATTGATAAAATGCATTATCGATTGACACAAAATTTAAACGACATTTCCACTCACTTTTTGTTCCAACCATTGTAATGTATCAGATATCTCACATGTTTTTCTTTTACTTGTGACCGCACACTCTGTAAAAACACACCAAATAAAGAGATCACAGTGAAATTCGCACGACAAAATAAAATAGACTTTTTGAATATGACAACAAAAATTGTGATGAAACAGTGCAGTGCTTGAACTGTAAATCCTACAAAATTGTGACCACCTAATTAATTTTCAGATTTTGGTCAATTATTGCTTTTGTTTTAGGTTTTCAAAAATTGTGTTTGTCACAGATTTTTTTTGACACTAATTTAGGTATCAATCAAATACAGTTACAGGATAGTACAGAGACAATGAAAGTAGAAGTACACACAAAAATTACTCAAGTTTCTAACTATTTTATTCAGTCAATAAGGAGTTTTATTGTAATTGTGTTTTATTGTAAGTATTAAATTGTACTTGACCTGCCCCAGTGAACTTTGACCTAATTGGTCTCAAAAATGCCTTTAACCAATCAGAATACCACATGGTATTACAAAGAGTTTCCAGCATGTCCTGAATATTCGTGATCGCAAAGAAAGTATTGTGGAAGTAAATATTGAGTATGAATTCCGATCCATTGGCATTCATTTTGCTGCATAATGTTCAAAGAAACTTTCAGTGCTTTTTAATATTAAAGGTAGAACAAGTTTTGAAAAGCTTTTAACAGCTAACAGAATGTTAACAGCTGAAATTGTCTAATCAAGCTATAAACTGTAGATTTGCCAAATGTACAGCTACTTATAGAAAATTAGGCAAATTTTTGTAGATCAGCTTCAGCCATGACTTTTTCTATTACATGTAAGTTTACCTTTGCTTCGTACAACAGAGGTCCATGAAAACAGAGAACACGTTCACCTGAAAAAAATTAAAAATATTAAGTTTAAACTACAATTACACGTATTCATGTATGAAAAATCACTAGTGAAGGTAAACCGGTATATACAGGAAGTTGTAATTAGTAATCATAGTACAAATGAACTTATTCAATAAAACTGAGCCTTTATTTCTTGCATCGCTGTACAATAATGTACGTCACTACTTTCTGTTTCCACAAACAAGTATTTTCGTGGTTACCTCATCCTGTTATTCTATTGGACAGAACAAGTTTGGGTGGCGCACAGGCAGAACTTGATCTGACAGCAGCTTTATTGTGTGCATAGATACAACAGATGTACCGGTATATGATTATTTATATATAGGAATATCAATTAAACAAATATCAGCCCTGTGTTTTGTATTGTTATCCTTT